CTGGCCCAGGAGTGTGCAACAGATAAAAGTCGATGTATCCCAACTAGGCATTTCGAAATAATCACTGTATTGCGCCTTCAGTACAATATATAGCATTAAACTATTTATTTTTTAACATTGCCAGCTTTCTGCCAGTAAGTTATTTTGTGCATTGAATTAAGTCCTTTATTTTTGAAGAAGCTATTGGTATTCCCAACCCTAGTTGCTCGTGCCCACGTCAACTTTGTTCTGATACAACTGAGCAGTGTCGATGTGACGGTAGCCAAGTTTGAGTGCTGACAACACCGCGTTGTAGACTTCGGCGCCGGGCTCTGCCTTGTAGACACCCAATCCGATGACAGGGATCTCAGCTCCACTAGAGTAAAGACTTGGTCGGGATGGTTACACTCATTTGCACTGCGATATTTTGGATGCTTGAGCGCTTGAAGGAGAGTTGGTGAGTGAAGACTTGGCAAAGGATAAAGAAAGCTTAAGCACACTGGCAAACTTCGATGACATCCTTCAGAATCGAAAAAGCTTTTTTTCGGAAAAAATATAAAATATTGTCATGTTTTGCCATCGAAAAATCTCGTCCGATTGTTGTCTACAGCACCAATTCAAACTCGACAGGAAGTTCCAGTTCTCCTGCTGCTACAACTTGATCTGCAGTTATTACTGGCTTGTTCGTCGCTTGAACCTCTGTCGTTGGATACTGTTCTTCTTGCTTCACCCTCTCGGCTTCCCTCTGAGTAGCCAAAGCCTGCAACTGCATTTCTCGCTGCTTCCTTTCTCTTGCAAACCGAGCTTGCTTATCCAGCTCTTCCTGAATAAATCTCTGTACCTCGGCGTTCCTCTGGTCGACAACTTCGGGGGGAGGTTCGTTCAGTGCTTCCACTTCCAGTCGCCTCTGCGGCTCCTGCTCTTTCATGTGCTGTCTCCATTCCCTGGATCTTTCTTCTTCGATCTCCTTCAGCAGTCGTTTTCTAAGCTGTCGCCGCTCTTCCTCCTTTTGGCTTTTTATTTTTTGCTTTTTCCTCTTTTCCTCCTCTTTCTCCT